GACCATTGCCCATGGTGGGGTGCTGCCCAACATAAACCCTGTGTTGTTGCCCAAGAAGAGTGGATCTGAGGCAACAAAGGAGCCAAAGGCAAAGGCTGCCAAGTCCCCCAAGAAGAAGGCTGCTTGATTTGATAGTGTAGATTAGTGGGGTTTTGTCCCTTGTTTCTGTATGTGACTTGGGGCCATTCTTTGCTTATAGAAGGTGTAATTGTTAGTTGTGTTGTAAACGTAATGTTTGGTTATCAATTAATGAAACTCTTTTTCATTTCTATTGTCTATGGACTCTGCTTTGTTGAATTATATTGTTGGGTTCAAATATCATAGCTATATATAAATTGATGGGTGTTTGTATTGGGCAAAAGATTCTGCTAGGTCTAGTTGGAATGTTCAGTTTGTGTGCATTAAATGGAATGTAGGTCATAGGGGTGTCAAATTGTGAATGTAGAGATTGGTGATGGGTTATTGCGTTTGAAGGGTTGAAAGGAAGTTGGTAATGGGGTTTGTCAAGAGATTTAAGAGAGTGAGGGAGATATTTTGTTAGGTTGTCTTTATTTTTGTAATTTTTTTTTTTTGTTAGTCTCAAAATATTGTCTATTTCTTAAAAATAATATCATTATATTTTTATTTTTACAAGATTAACCTTTAGATTTTAACCACAACTCCACACAATACTGTCCTCAAAAGTTGTGCTCAGTTTAGAGAAGAAGAATAAATGAATTTTTTTTTTTTTTTTTTTTTTTTGCAACATAAACTTTTCTTCTTTGTTCTCTTGATTGCCATTTCAAAATTTCTTCTTCAAAATCCCCATTCATCATCAGCATCATCTTTTTCTTCTTTTCTTCTTGTAATTAATGGGTTTCAAAAGTCGCCACCGACATATGCTCTTGTCAAAATTTTACTACTTGAATTGATGACCTTCGTTTCCGTTAGAGAAGTAGGTAAGTTGGAGAAGACAAGGGCATAAATGAGTGTTCACAAAAAAGAAATAAGGGCATAAATGGAAAGAGAATCCACTTTTATTGTTTGCCTTAAAATCCGTGCCAAAAACAAAGAAGGCATGCATTACAGGATTGAGGGAGTATATAAAAAGTACAAAAGGCTGCCACAACTATTGCTGTAGCAGCCTTTGCCAAGTTAGCAAACTTGTTGCAATAGCAAGTTTGCTAAGAGCATCCCTAACAAGGGATTTTGCATAGAAAAAAATGAGTATGTGGAGGAGAGATGAGAGAGGAGATAGAGGGTTGGGGTAGTCTGGTTAATTTGTGGGTTTTGGGGATTTGGGGGGGGGGGGGGGGGGGGGGGGGGGGGGGTTTGCAGGGATTTTGTCAGTTTTTTATTTTTCATTTTTTCACTCATTTCTCTTTTCTAATCATACCTCCAAAAACTCCTTAAAAAACTACACCAAGATTCTCACTATTGAGGATGCCCTTAGGGCATTTTCAATAATTGTGATTTTTTTCCCATTTTTTTGTGGATCTCAACATCCACCTCATCATCTACTATCTCACTCAATTACAAAAATTTTCTCCACATTAATTTTAGGTTTTTTTTTTTTTTTCAATTTTTTATTGACTCACCATTTTATCTTATATATTTTAATTATTTCTTTATGTATCATTCTAAAAATTATAATTATAAATTTAATAATAACATTATTAATAATTTTAAATTTAATAATAATATTATTGATAATTAAGAATTTTAATTTAATTAATAAATATAAATTTAACCGTTGTTTAAAAAAAAATAATAAAAAAAAGAACTGGCCATTGCAAATGCAATGGCCAGCATGATTTTAAAATGAAATTAAAAAAAAAAAGTCTTCAATTGAGAGTGTTGCCAGTTGGCGGCCACTCTCAATCGCCCTAGCGGGCGCGCTAGGCCGCAGGGTGAAACGCACTTGCGCGTCTCACCCTTGTTTTTTGTTTTTTTGTTTTTGTTTTTTTTGTAATTTTTTTTTTTAGATAGATCTGGGAGTGTTACAATAGAAAGAATTTTTCAAAAATTAACACCTCCATTTCTGAAAAAACAAAACATATGAGATTTTACTATTCTAAAATTTGAGCATGATCCCCCTAATGGGGTTGCTCTTAGTATTTTATTTTCATTGCGATTTTTGAAGAGTATTTGTATGTGTGATTAAGAAAGAAAATATGAGAGGGCGAGAAAAAAAAAAACAAAATTGATTTAAAAAAACAAAAAAAAAAAAAAAAGGAAAAGGATCACTATCAGCGCGCCTACTGTCTTGTTTTTCTCTCTCATATTATGGACCCCACAAATATGCATTTCTTGCAGGGAGAACAAAAGTGAAAAAACCAGCCCTCCACATCTGTTTGAACCCCAACATCAATTATTTCTTCTGCAATATCTCCACAATTATTTCTCTGGAAAAACTTTGTTTCTGGAGGAAGATTTTGACAAAAAACTGCATGCCACTTCTCTAAAAAAATCCAAAGTTGATTTTTTGTTCTAAAAAATGCAAGAAAAATGAACAGATATTGGTGCTCTAACCATGTCATCATATATATATAAAAAAAATTCAATGTGTCAGTTCATCTAGCAAGGGAAAGATTGGTTGGGATAAGCACAACCTTAGTAGTGGGCTATGGCTTATAGAGGTGTTGTGGTTTTGGTGGTGGGAGAGACATGGTTGGGTGATGGTAATTTTTATTTATTTTTTTAAAATCAAAACATACTTCATTTTTAGGTAATGTTAAAAGGTTGTTTTGTAGGTTTCTATATAGAGTTAAATCCAGCAATGGTCCTCTGAGTATAGTGATTTTTCACAATTTGTCCTCGTATTTTAATTTGGACAATTTTGACACTCACTATTGAAATCTTTTCAATGTTTGTCCTTCCGTTATAAACTTGTTAAGTGAACGTCAAATAGAAGGGTAAAACCGTCCTTTCACCTACTGAGTGTATAATTCCTTGTTGTTCCTCTCTGTAGATACGAAGTAAATCAAAACCCCAAACTTCTATACCCACATATATCAAAATCCCCAAATCTTCTCTAGATCAGCGGCGAGCGGAAGCGTGAGTTGGAGGAAAAGGGTGACACTTGGCACCGCATCGAGCGAAGCTTCGGAAAGTTCTTCAGGAGGTTCCGGCTGTCGGAGAATGCTAAGTTGGATCAAGTGAAGGCTAGCATGGACAACAACGTTCTGACTTTTGACCGTCATAGTTCCAAAGGAGGGGAGAAGAAGTAGCGTGATGTGAAATCCATCGACATTTCCGGCTAATTTTTGACGTTTGACTGTTTTTGCCTAATGTTTCGATGTTAATAAGGTAAAAAACGATGACGTTTGACTGGGAATGCTTTCTTCAATGGTGGTGTTTGAAGTTGAATCCGACTTCTTGTAAATGTTTGACTTTAGTGCTGGCAATATAATATAATCAACATTCTCAAATACTTGTTCAGTTGTTCAATTACCATATTACGTATAACATAGAAATTCCTAACCATAAAATCTGTTGTTGCAACTTCAAATCTGGAAGTTTCTCCTCAGAAAAGCCCATCCTTCTTATCATCCTTCATGAGTTCATTCCTGCCTTTTACTGCCTTCTTCGATCTGAGGAATCATAAATACGTGATGTTTAGTGGAGGTGATGATAAGTGTTCTTTTTGTTTATGAAGGTTTAGTGGAGGTGATGACAAGTGTTCTTTCCTATAAAGGACTTAAACTCTATTCAAACCAGTTTCAATATTCATATGACAAGGAATTACACTCAGCAAGTGAAATGATGGTTTTATCATTCTATCTGACATCCACTTAACAGGTTTATGACAGAAGGATCAATATTGAAAAGATTTTGATAGTCGAGTGTCAAAATTGTCCAAATTAAAAGATGAGGACCAATTGTGGAAAATCACTATACTCAGAGGACCATTGCTGAAATTAACTCTTTCTATAGATATCTAGGCTACTTTTGCAACAAAAAAAAAAATAATAATAATAAAAAATATCTAGGTTATATTATTTTTTATTAATGAGTGGTAGATGAATTAAAGATGACTCATGTTGATTTATAGCAACTAGAGTTTCTATATATATTTGGGTGAGTTGGATTTTATTTTAATAAACTGATTGATATACTATTTTTACTCATAAGTAGTAAATGATGCTGCATTAATAGAGAGTAACTAGAGTTTCTCTAGATACTAAATATCTTATTCGTGTGTGATGTCAAAAACAATTCCCTCCAATCAAACCCTCCGTAAATGGATTGACATCCCATCCACTCTTCGCAATATATGATGATGCAACAATGACGAGTTTTTTGCACTTTTAGTCCCACGACTATAGTGGCACTGCCAGAATTGATTCACGACTTTTGAACCTTGCAATTTTAGTCCACGACTATTAATTTTTTTGCAAAAATGGTCCTTCCGGCCACTTTTCCGTCAAAATTTCACCGGAAAAAAAAATTCTCCATTTTTAGCCGGGTTAAAATTTACATTTTACTTATCTCAAAAAATTAAAAGAAAAAAAATTGATATATGACTACATACAATATTACTGGGCTACATACTACTGCCCCAGGCGGCGGAGTTCCTAGAGCAGGCAGGGCTGTCAGTAAGCGGCGGAGCGGCCGTGGCGTTCCCCGGGCTAGTTGGGTTATCCGGCAGCAGCATTGGAGTGGTACATGTACTCCGCCGCCTGGGGCAGTAGTATGTAGCCCAGTAATATTGTATGTAGTCAAATATCAATTTTTTTCTTTTAATTTTTTGAGATAAGTAAAATGTCAATTTTAACCCGGATAAAAATAGAGATTTTTTTTCCTGTGAAATTTTGACGGAAAAATGGCCGGAAGGACCATTTTTGCAAAAAAATCAATAGTCGTGGACTAAAATTGCAAGATTCAAAAGTCATGAATCAATTCTGCCATTGCCACTATAATCGTGCGACTAAAAGTACAAAAAATTCCAACAATGACACCTATTGACCGGTGATAACTAGGGTTTATATAGATATTTGGGCCATTTGAGTCGGTTGAAATTTATTTTAATAGTCTATTATTGAGTTGATTTAATTAGGGATGCAGACAACAATTCAAAAACTTGTTCAAACAAGAAGGCAAAAGATGGAAATAGATGTTTGTCACACTCATGAACTCTACCTACCACAACTTCCTGACAGCATCCCACAACTTCTTCATCTATTCTAATGCACACTGCGCATGATTCCATGTAAATAACCACCGCTCATAACAAGAGACACAAAGGAGACAACACCAGCCGGGAAGACCTTTTTCGACTTCATAAAGCGCGAACCCATGACGCCCAAGAGCCCAGCGGAGAGGACTAAACCCACGGATGATGCGAAAACAGGGTTTGTTGGAAGTACGGTGTAGACATAATACAGAAGCGAGGCTGACACTCCACCCGCGATCAAGGACTTGTGGCTGCCGCTCTTCAAATAGCCCATGACTCCACCGGCTCCAACCAAGAAAGCGTAGCCCAGTGTCAACTTCTGGGACATGGAAAGAGCTGCCTTCCGTTTGCTATGATCCTCCTTGCCATCATCCGATCCCCCTTCATTACCACCGTTATTATTGTCATTATTTCCACCATCGCCTCCATTGCCATTTGCATCACTCGGGCCATTTCCATCACCGCCAGAGTCTGGTGCAATGGAGTACTCTCTCCCAGCTGAATCAGCTGCAAAGGTGGTTGGAATGCTAGAGTCAGAGACAACACCTGCAGTGATCCCCCACATGAATCTGTTCTGTCGAGAGGAAATATGTGGGGAATATGTAGGTGACCTAGTTAGAGCACGCAAGGATAAGGGCATTGTTGGGAATGGTTGATAGTGATCAAAGGAATGCTGCCTTCGGTTGCAAGCTTGGACCCGAGAATGAGGAAGCAGTATAGCGGACTGTGAAAGTGCCAAAAATTCTCCCATGGCTGTTTACTAAAGATTATATGTTGTGTAGACCTGCACATTACATAAAGAAATTAGCTTAGTTTCAGAAGTGCAGATAAGTTTGTCAGGACTAGGTACAACATTTGCAAGGAGGTATAAGAATGATGATGAAAACAGTTCACAGTTACAGGGAATGAAACACAAAACAAGCTGAGACAATTATCTCAGGGATGGAAGAGAATGCACAAATTAGTGATGCTTAGTTCACTGGTTCAGCATGGCTGCAGAAGATGATAGCCAAATTCATTGTGTAAATCATAATGCATAAAACAATAAAAGCCTTTATCACTTGCAACCATCAAATTTGTTTTATTTACAATAAAAAAAACATGCCAGCAAAAGAAGCAATTCATAGTATCTTTCAGAAAAAAAAAATAAAATAAAATAAAAAAGGGAAGATATTTGAAGGATAGTACTATTCAGTGTATTCAATTGGTTGGTCAAGAAGTTTGATCAATCGGGAGTATAATTGGCCAAGAGTTTGATTGACCGGAGCATGAGGAGGAGTTTGATGCATAGCTCTTCCTAAGGAATCATCTATCACTCTACCAATAAAGCGGGAATTACAGCTGCACTACCCGTTCTTATATAAACTATACCTGCCATTTACAACTGCTACAGGATAATCTATAAAAAGGGAAAAGATCTACAAATGTGTGAGAAAACGCTAGGTCCATCTTTTGCAATAGTCTCTCTCAATTGTATGCAGAAAAATAAAATCATTATAAATCACTAGCCAAAAGGGTTCAAGCGACCAAGTGCCATTAGTAAATCACATTAGAAAAATACAAGGGTGAATAGGAAAATGAGGGTACAAAACTATCATCAATAAACATCTTCATGCGTGTAAAAAACACCTTTCTACAAGTCTTTAATCACCCTCACTTAAGCAACAAGAGAAATCCAAATTAAAACTTGTGAGATACAAGATGGTTTCATCAATGATGTAATTTAAAAATGTTATCTCATATTTTCTCAAATATGATATTACGCCAGAAAAAGGCATTATTCAGGCTTTGTCGCTTTGATGAATGTTTCTTGTTCAACATCTATTTTGCAACCAACCACTCCCTCTTATATAATAATATACAAAGACCACTTCATGGAAGTTACATGGAAGTTATAAAATAACTTCCATTAGGATAAAGTTATTATTCCACTAACTGATTAGGAATGATGTTTGAATCAAATTTAAACACAGCCAAAATCCAAAAATCAAACGACCAGAAGACAACCCACACCGCAGCAAGATCATGCTGAAAATAGCCTGCTCAAGCAAGCAACATTCTTGTCACAGCAAGAACCTGATGTATCTCAATGACTGTTCTGCCACTCCTCACCACGGCGAGAACCAGGTCTTTCCTAGTATCTCATATGTTCTACTTGCAATTCTACTTCTTTTCACCTCTACTGGTTTCTTGACTCTACTAGTCATATTCGTGTCTCTATCGAATTTACTGAAACTCAACTGGTTACAACCAGTAGACTCCCAAATCAGTAAACCAACTGTAACTCCTCTGGTTACTACCAGTAGACTCTTCAACTAACATAAAAGTAGCTAACTTACTCACCTGACCAAGGATTTTAATATAACTAAACGTAAAATGATATTTTAACACCCAAAAATATCACTCAAGTTTACGTAGCATGCTAGATACCTCAAAGTCTCAAACATTCATTTATTATATAAATTCCTAAGTCCTAACAAATCACTCTCCTTTTCACATTACTTTCTTACTTTTTCATTATGCAAACCACCATATTTGGGAATCTGATACAAAAGTCATGTCCCCTTTACCTGTGTTTTATTTTATTTTATAAATAAATCCCTTTATCTGTTAAAAACAAAGCATCATCTTTTCTTGATGAGATGGCACAGTTGAGGCAGAAGTTCATGTTCTGCCGCTTGAGTGTTATCATGCGACAAAAGTTAAGTGCTCTATCTATCTTCTATTATATTTGCTATTGACTTCATACTCAATATGTGGCCATGGGTTATGGTTACACAACGTGAAGTCACAGGCATTGCAATTGGATTACATAGAGACATTTGTGTAAGCTTCGATGTTAAGATGATGGCATCTCAATATATATATATATATATATATATATAGAGAGAGAGAGAGAGAGAGAGAGAGAGAGAGAGAGAGAGAGAGAGAGAGAGATAATATATGGAGCCATGTGGATTGCAATGGGGTGATGGATGGACACGTTTGAGGCTCCCATGTTGAGATGATAACATCTGAATTCATAAAAAATAGGGAGAGAAAGGGTGAGAATGAAGGTATAAAGCCAGCAAGCACAACAAGAGTTGCAGCTACCTATAATTACTAGTTTACATGGAAGGTCATCACCTTGCTCAATGGCAGAGGTCTACACTGGCATCTGACGGTTGCCACAAGACAAAAATGAATGGTGAAGGAAGTTTGGAAACCAGCTCCATGCGAACCATCCACCATGTTGTGCAGAGGTATCATTGACACAACCATCGTTGCCCAGGAATGTAACAATAATAGGAAGAAAAAAATAAAAATAAAAATAAAAGAAGGCCAACCGAGCAACACATCATCCTTCATGCTTGTGTTTTCTAATTAAAGTGAAGGGCATGACAGAGTTTCCTAGTACAAGCGGTAAAGTAAGGAGACTACCTGCACATCAATTGGGTGATGGAGGAATTCCAGTGCAAGATTTCAAGCTGAGATGGTGACACACTATATTATTCATATCCAGAATATAATACTGTCACTACTGTGTGCCTTCTAAGAATTAGTATTAGTATATTAGTATATTATCCTAATTTTTTTACTAGAACAGAAAAAGCCAAAAAGGTGCCCTTTTCTGTTTGTCTTCTTTTGATCCATTGTTTCGAGAAAATCATGTAAAGTAATACTCTCAAAGACTTCTTTCATATTAATGGAAATGACAACAAAAAACATATATGTAAAAGTATATTCAACAAGGGGAAACACTATGAATTAATCTTGAAGCAAGCCATTATGTATAAGAAGTTTTGAAGTCATCAAGAAGAAACTGTAAATCCAGAGAACCACTGAACCAGACACCTAAAGATACTGAGCAAGACAGATTGATTGATGCATGACTAAATGGCAAAATCATAATTTTTACTCATTCAATATATGTATGTTCGTGTGAGGAAACCCTAACCCACCAATTACAAATGCAAATGCAATGTAACAAGCAACTGAAATAAGCACATAAATCAAACACATTACACGCATGCTTTCTTGGCACCAGTTTCCAAAAAATAGGTCACATATCCAAATAATTTCCGACTTTAGGTTCTGGAATCATTCACTGTACTTGCTAATCAATTCATATGCATCAATATCAGCCATCGCCTTATATATTAAATGAAAACCAAATATTTATGAGTGGTACAATGAAGAGGAAATCTGCAAATGTGTAAATATCAGAATCAAACTAATTGGGGGAGATTTTTTCCAGTTTTCTTTCTTCTTTTTAACCAGACCAAGAGGCATTTTTTAAATTAGAAAAAAAAAAAAAAAAAAAAAACCTAGAAAATTCCCAACTCATCTTGTAAAATAACAATCCAGAATCTAGAATTTAATAGTGCCAGGTTATGAACAGATAACGCAAGAAAGGAGAAGAGTAATCGTTGGAATCATATTATAGGAGTAATACGAAAAGAGAAAAAGGGCAAACTACCTACCTGTGCTGGTGTAGTGATGTTTGAGCTCCAGAGCGAAGTGAGAACAGCGTCTGTGTCAAACTCAAAAGGGATACCACACCGTAAATTACTACTTAGTCCCTTTGACTTCCTGCGTCACTGCTAACTGCTAAGCTCCTTTTTATTTATTAAAAAAAAAAACATAAGGTGAAATTAGCAACTGAATGTGAAAATGAATTAAGGTACTGAACAAAAAAAAGAGGTGTAATTAGGTCATTGAATCCTCCAAATGTATGCAATTTCACCGGATAACATATTACTTGCTTACGTGACAGTTGAGTTAGCATTTTTAATAATTTTTAATAAATTTTAATAATAAATTTAAAAAAATGAAAAAAATTAAATAAAAATAAAATGACGGGGCCACCCGTCGTTTTTTTTTTTTTTTTTTTTTAATTTTTTTAATTTATTAAAAATTATTAAAAATGTCAACTCAGCTGCCACGTAAGCAAGTAATCTGTTAAAATTGATGGTAATATGCTACTCCGTATTAGGTAAAATTGCATACATTTGGACTGTTTAGTGGCTTAATTGCATTTTTTTTTTTCATTCAGTGGCCTAATTACATTTTCATGTTACGTTCAGTGGCTAATTTAAACCTTATTCCTACAAAAAAAAAAAAAAAAAAAAACTAGGAGTTATTGTCATATTGGATCCTCCCAATATATTGATTTTGTCATGTTTAGTCAAACTTTCAAATTGATTATATGTTCGACTTTTCAATTACCATCTACAACAATGGCCTTCTCAAGAGTGAGAAAGCTAGGTCGCCTTCTCCAGTGAAAATTGTCGGAGAAGACTATCAAAATGGTTGCCTTCTTTGACATATGAACTTTTGATTACTTCTCCGTATTTTTCTTTAAATTTTGGAAAAATTGATTGAAAATTTGCCGGAGTTAATCGGAATGTCATTGAAGTGGGTTAAAAGATCGCTGGAAGTTTAGTGACCTGCAATAGTAGGTCATTAACTAGCAATCGTTATATCGTGCACTAGGGCGCACAATGCATTGTGCGCCTCGCCCTACCCAAAACGACGTCGTTTTGGTGCATTGTCAAAAAAAAAAAAAACAAAAAAAAAATTCTTCTGTTTTGAATACACATAAACTAATAATAGAATACACAGAAACTCATAACTGAATACACATAACCTAACATGATATATAATACACAGAAAAACTCTTAACTGAATACACAAAAATTCTTAATTGAATACACATAAACTCTTAACTAAATACACAGAAACTCTTAACTGAATACACAGGAACTCTTAACTAAATACACAAAAACTCTTAACTGAATACACAGGAACTCTTAACTAAATACACAAAAACTCTTAACTGAATACACAGAAACTCATAACTAGGGGTTGAAATAGGTCAGGCCGATCCGAACTTTAGAAAATTAGGCCTGAGCCTGTTACGAAAATATAAAGCCGAGGCCTGGGCTTGGACCTGTATGTAGATTTTTTTTTAGACTCAAGCCTGAGCCTGCATTTAGCCTGGCCTGAAGCCTTTTTAAAAGCTTCAAAGTAGGTCCTAAATAAGCCTAAATTTTAAAGCCTTTTATTATATGTCTGTAAAAAATAATTATATTATTAAACTATAATCAACCAATCATCATATTATTAAATTACAATAAACCAATAATCATAAATAATAAAACGAGTTAATTTTCAAAATAGTCCTTCGACTATGATCTTTTTTTAATTTAGTAACTCGATTTTTTATTGCACCTAATGTGGTCTTCAACCATTGAAAATTAAGTTAAAATGATCCTTCGTTAATTTATCCGTGAAATAAACGTTAAAAATGAGGGTAAATGTGGACTCTCAGTTCCTTCGTTCACATGCTTCATCTCTGCAAAAACTTAGCGGGGAGGGAGGTTTCTCTCTTTTGCATCGCCAATTAAGGTCACTAAGTTGGAGACCAAAACCCATCGTCAAACCAACCTGTCTCACCCGGAGTTTAACACAGATATCAATGTTTGAGATAATACACAGAAACTTTTAACTGAATACAAATAATAGAGTTTAGAGTATCCTTATCAGTTGGAGATATTAGGGGAAGAATGTAAGAGTGAATAAGAAAGAGAATAATGTGGGAGGGGAGGGAAATAAAAATCAAAACTGATTTTATAAAAAAATATATATATAAAAAATAAGCATGTCATTTCTCTATTGGTTCTCTCTCATCCATCATTAATTCTTTTTCTTGGACAGAGTAATATCCCAACATTTGCAGATGCTCCCCACCCCTTCTCTCTCTTGATTCTCTCTCTGCCACCATGGCATTTTGACCTCAAAAGTAGTGAATTCTCCCCCATTTCTTCACTGATGTAGGTGCTCTTAGGCCATTTGGACAGGCGGAGTGACATCAGTAATTGAAATGCGCGCGTTTTGTGTCTGGACACACATTGTTATATGTGTTGTGGTGCACGATATAAATTGCCATTAACTAATTGTTGCGCTCCAATATATCAAAATAACATATTTATGGGTCTAATTATAACTTTGTAATTGTTAGAGACTTAATTGATTTTATAAGTAAAGTTCGAGAGCTTATTTAACACACTTTTCCATTTATCTTTCATTGCCTGATTTGTTGGTTTATGGGCTCGATCCGAGCCCAACAGTCTATTTGAGCCCATCACTACATGCTACAGTCAAGCCTTCCCATTCATCGTCTTTAGCTCACACGGGACGCCAACCGAATTTCCGAAGAGCTACGCAGTGGAAAGCGAAGAGATGGCGTGGACAGGACAGCTCTCGAGAAATCTCAAGGAGATTCGGATCTTATTCTCGCCTAATTCACCTTCCAGCGCTCCTTTGAGGTATCAATAATGTCTTCGTCTGGTTCCCCTTTCTGTTTTTGACGGTGTAAATTGTATACTTATTTGTCTTTGAATATAGGGCTTTTATTGAGAATAACTACAAACAAATCAAGACCCATAATCCTAAATTGCCCATCCTTATCCGGGAGGCCAGCTCCATTGAGCCTCAGATTTGGGCCAGATTCGGTAAATTTCTCGATTTCTAGTTTGTATTTCGTGATAATTGGACTTCAGATGTTGCTAATTCAACCTGGCTATTGATTTACCTATTCAAAATTTCCTGCTTTGTTCAATTTTTGTGTACTCAATGTGTTCTTTCTGATTGAGATTGGTTGTTCAAGGCTTTAAACAATCTGGTATTTTGGTTGGGTAGTTAATGTGATAATTGGGGATGGTAAAGACCCCATTTTCATACTCTGGAGTTTGGACTTGTGCTGATTAAGGGTAAGCTATTGATGGCTTTACCTCTAATTTAGGCAGAAATCAATAGGTAATGAGAAAGGAAATTTGGCTTGTTGAGCGAAACAAGCCAAATTATTAAAAGAAAAAAACTCCGTTGACTTAGTCGAGTTGGGCGCTAGTTGGCTGGCTGACTAAAAGACGCCTAAGCCTGAAATCCCCGGGCAACCTAGGTCGATTTTTACAACAGTGTAAGTGTGGGTGTGATTAAAAGAGAATTGTTGAAATTTTGCAATTCTATAGGCAATAGTTATGCTGTGCAACCGTGTGCACCATGCATGGTGCACATGGTTGCAAAACGACGCCGTTTTGACTAAAAACGCGCGTCCCATTTAAAAAAAACGGTTCCCCTTAACAGCATTATTGTGGATATATAGTTATGAATTTGTGGATATATAGTTATGAATTTATGGATATTTAGTTCATTCATTCTGGATTTAGTGTTATTCATTCATTGTGGATATATAGTTATGGGTTTGTGGATATATAGTTATGAATTTGTGGATATATAATTCAAATTATGCACAAAAAAATGCTATTGCCGGGAATCGAACCTGGATTTTTTTTTTTAAGTGGGACGCGCATTTTTAGTCAAAACGACGTCGTTTTTGCATCCGTGTATGGTGCACACGGTTGCACAGCATAATTTGTGTTCTATAGGATATGCCTGTTTAATGGGTTTAGAAGGCTGGGCATATTATTTAGACCTCAGGGTTTTCCTCAGAATATAAAAAAAGCAGTTTCTTTCCAGGTTCTGGTTTGTTTCGATATGTTAAACTGTTTTAGGGGTTTTCAAGACATTTGTGCCCCAGTTTAAGCGCCTTTTATGTTTAGCTTTCCTCATTGCTTAGTAAATATAAGAAGAATGCGATAAGTTTCTCTTCTGATGCTCCAACTAATAGAATCTTTTCATTTGTAAATTAGATATGGGAGTTGAAAGGGGCTTCCAATTAGAAGGCTTCTCAGAGCAACAGATTTCGAAAGCACTGGAAGACTTGGTGAAGGCTGGAGCATCCTGAAACTTGATTCCGTTGGACTGTTAAATGGTCTACCTTTTAATTCAGCGCTCGTATTGATGTCATAATGCTTGGCATTATACACTCAAATAATTATACGACCATCATCTATTGCTTGTTTTGTAGTCTTAAGAATATGCAGCTTTTGATGTGTCTTTAGATACAAGTGCAAGGAGAGAAGTGTTTGAAGCTCTGATCTCACAATCTGCCTTCATTAATAACCTTTGGACATTATTTTGTTTGAACTCATCTATCAAGTACCCAATTATTGTTTCTGACAACTCTACTAGTGTTGAAGTTTAAGATTGTTCCTTTTGTGCATCACAAGCTCAAAATTTGATCCAACAGCTGAGATATCTGCACTTTTGACAAATAATTTCAACATTTGTTCATCACCCCCCTTGGCTCCCACTTGCTCTTTTGAAATATGTTGATGATGAATCACCTTGCTGTGACATTGGTGGCTGAGTAGTAAGTAGCCAGTAGAGACTGGCTAGTTGCACTTGCTTTTTCTTGCTAAAAATCTGATCTACTGGAACTAGAAACTCGTATATGCATTATGGTTCCTTGCCCAGTGACTTTGATATTGAATGTTGCTATCAAAGAAACCACCTTGTAAAAGGCCACCTCTAACTCTAGAAAGGAGACAGATCCTTTCTTGTGAGTTGTGACCAAGAAATACTAAAGTGACAGTCCTATAATGGGCATGCTATAATGGGCAAGTATATAATACCTAAACAATAATACAGTTTAAAAATCTGAAATTTTGCTGCAAACTGATCTGCAGAGAGTCTGTAAAGAAAGAAGCTTCTGTTCAAAAGCTCAGCAGCAAAAAATCAGACTTAGAGAGCCCCATCCCTGTCAAAAACAGGAACCTCATCCAGCTTCAAGAGAGAAACAATAACCTAAGAGCATCATCAACAATGACAAATTTAGAGTTTTTTTTTAAGGCTTTTTAGGTGATGTGTGTTGAATTTGAAAGATCCAAAGGCCTAGCGAGTGGAGAATAACAATCACTTGTCAATTTTGTAGGAGTAGGTTATAATATATTACGGAGTCTAATGAAGAAACATAGTGTACACACACACATACAGACACATAATTGTTAATTTAAGCACCTATTCATAAAAAAGACAACCTTATAGACAAACATAACCTTTTGATTTTCAACACTTCTCAAGTTGGAACATTTGAAAGTTTCAAGCTTGGATTAAAACATACAAGGAAAACAATTGAATGGCTTCGAAGGGACAATGCTATGCACAACCCTTGAGAATGAAGATGAGTGCACCAAGGGCAAAGCTTAATACGAATAGCCTCACATCAACATAAGCACTCTAGGACTTGCCAACAACAATTTTCATCAAGAACGGCAGAGCAAACAAAGCATGAATAGCAAAGGGGATGTAGTAGAGCCCATAGAAATGACAAATACACCCAAAAAAATAAAGTATGAACATTGAGAACACCACATGGTTGTTGTTCACGCCCCCTTATAGGATAAGTGAATAACACAAGGCTTCTGGAAATAATTAAAAAATAAAAAATGCCAAACTTGAAAACCCTTGGGAATAAATATAGTATACCGAAAATAAAGAAACAAATACAGTTATACAACAATACATTTGAAAAAAGTTTAGCAACAAACCCAAAAATCCTTCAAACTTCACCAAAAGGTCCAAAGAAGGGCAAAACAACAATTTGGAAAACTTTCATTAAAAAATACATCATAGGAGAAACACACGCGCTGACAATGATCAGGATGACGATGAAATTTTCCAGATAAGGTCTCAAAAAGGAGAGGAATCCAACGGTGTAGGATGTGAGATCACAAAATCACTAAAGAAGAAAGATGAAAAAGTCGAACGAAGTTCCAGCAATTTGTGAAAGCGTGTACAATGGCAAATGACACCAACGTTTCTTGGGCAAGGTTGCAACGTGATTCCGTGTGTGACTAGTTGTAGATTTTAAAGTAAACCACCATTGACACATTGAAATCCAAGATATACAATCGTTATATCGTGCACTAGGGCGCACAATGCATTGTGCGTCCCGGTTCGACTCAAAACGACGTCGTTTTGTTAAATTGTGTGGGGAGTTGACGCGATGGAGTTTATGTATATTCAATTATACAATTATGTACATTCGAAACATGAAATATTTTTTAAGAGTTAAGAGTTTATTATCATTTCAAAAAAAATTACGTGTATTATGTTAAAAATTTATGTACTTTCTATTATACAATTATGTACATTCGAAACATGCGATTTTTTTTAGAAGTTAACAGCAGACACGGAAAACGAAATTTTCAAAAAAACAAAAAACAAATACAAATACAAAACGGAATCATTTTGGGTCAGGGCACGATGGTGCACCCTAGTGCACGATATAATTTGCCCAAGATATAATCATGGGCTTCTATTTACACCATAAAATGGAAAGAAAAATACCCTATGATAGTAGGCTCTAATACCATATTCAATTTGAAAGATTCAAAAGTCTGGCAGGTGGAGAATAACAACCACCCGCTAGTTAGACAAAAGTAAAGATGAAGAATCAATAAATGAGAAAATGTATATAATACTAAAAGTTTACAATATATTACTATAATTGAGTTAATACCCAAAATTGTCCTCGACTATAGTGGTTTTTCTCAATTTCGTCCTAAATGACTTTGGTGACCTAATATTGTCCCAGACTTTTGTGTTTCGCTCAATTTAGTCCTCCGTTTGTTATTCCGTCAAATTGGTGTTAAATAAAGGGACAATTCAATAATATCAATATTGACCTCTCTTTACTTTCAACATGCGAAGTGAGAAATCTTTCCTTCTTGCACGAATTACACCCAGAATTACTCCCAGACCTACGAATCAAATTTTATATTCGCAGGTTTAAGAGTGATTTTGGGAGTAATTCGTAAAAAAAATTGATTTCGCACTTCACATGTCTATGAGTAAAGAGATGCCAATATTAAAATTACTGAATTGTCTATTTATTTAACAACAAATGGACGGAATAACAAATGGGAGACTAAATTGAGCAAAAACACAAAAGTTTGGGACTAAATTGAGCGAAACACAAAAGTCTGGGACAATATTAGGTCACCAAAGTCATTTAGGACAAAATTGAGAAAAACCGTTATAGTCGAGGACAATTTTGAGTATTAACTCTACTATAATTCTATGTTTCTAAAGAAGAAACATAATACATATATATACAAATACATAACTATTAATTTAAACACCTATTCATAAAAAGACAATTTATAACCCTTTGGTTTTCAACAATGTAAAAGAGAGAATATGTTCTTGGAACTTGGAAGAAGGGTTTTTGGGGGGGCCTGCAAATTTAATTTTTTTATAAAAATGGTGCCAGTCAGTCTAGTGCACCAGCAATGTTTAATGCTCTTTTTTTTACTTTTTCTCCTCCCTCTCCCACTTGGCAAAAAATCCTGACAAAATTAGTTGACTGTTGTGGATAATCTATCTAACAAATTCCTTCCTGACTAAACTTAGCCAAAAGAACAGCAGAGACACTGATCTTCCAGAAACAGCTTTGAGCAGAAATCACAGCCCTGGGTAGAAAGTTTTCCAGCAATTACTGCTCTGTAAAATTTTGCACAACCTCTAGGTCATGAGCCAAAGCATAAACAAAACAAGAATTAACTACTATCTGTGACACAGATAAATTTTCCCCAGCAAAACAGAACAGCCAATGAGCCAAAGCATAAACAAAACAAGAATGAACAAAAAAAGGAAAGAAACAACCAAATTCTTGGGGGTAGACTGCTGTAAGACAAAAACCACATCTCCAACCAAAATGGTCAAAGAATGGACAAAACAGTAGGGGAAGGAGACCTTTTTTTCAACAAATTTATACTCCTTTTACCCCCTGCAACAGTACAGTGGAAAGAAAAACATGTCCAAAAATTACTTCACATAATTAATTACCATTTTAGAGTAATAACTTGATTATTTTACAGACTTTTAAAGTCTATTCCTTTCAAGATGGCTCTTTTCTCCTGCTGCTTAGTCTAGGAAGACAGCTTGAAAATTCTTATTTCTAGCAAACTAAAACCCAATTTTGGTTTCTATTAATACAAAAGTAATGTTCTTGGAATTTAACACCCTGTTCAAGAAGACAAAAACAATGTTTTTATGAATGAAAAGCAATATTGAGAAGGAAAATTCAAGAAATTTGCAATGAAAGATTTGCCATTAATGCTTCGGATTGTACATGTGCAACAAAAGAGAAGAGACACAAATCCAACAACTGATTCTATAATCTAAACCCCAAAAGACAAATTACGACTGAAATTACTGTTGTTTATCACATCCCTAAAATTCTACATCCAAAAAAGAGACCAATCAAACCTTCAAGAGCTCGTAAACTTAGTCACCGCCTTAGTCCCCTCAGAGACGGCGTGCTTAGCCAGTTCACCGGGAAGCACAAGCCGCACCGCCGTCTGGATCTCCCGGGAGGTGATCGTCGGCTTCTTGTTGTAGCGCGCGAGCCTCGAAGCCTCCTGCGCCAGCTTCTCGAAGATATCATTGATGAAGCTGTTCATGATCCCCATGGCCTTGCTGGAGATCCCGATGTCAGGGTGGACCTGTTTCAGGACCTTGAAGATATAGATCTTGTAAGTCTCGGTGCTCTTCTTCGCCTTCTTCCTCTTCTTTTCGCCGGAAGCGGCGCCGCCGGCCTCCTTCGGGAGCTTCTTCCCGGCCTTGGAAGGCTTCTTCTCCGCCGCCGCCTTGTCGCCTACGGCCGCCGCCTTCTCTTCCGCAGTCTTCTTCTCCGCCTTTGGAGCCATCTTACAAGATTTCTAGATCGATCGAGAGAGAGATGAGAAACTGGAAAATCAGAGGGATTCCGGATGGGTTGTTGGCGGGTTTGAATCGGATGGGGTTTGGATTTATATATAGATTGGGGGATGATAATGGTGGAAGATGATTGGTTAGTGGGGCTGCGCACGGATTGATGAGGTGGAAGATTATTGGACGTCGGATGAGGATTTTGAAAATTAGGGAGTGAGATTCGCGCTTCTCGGACTGAATTTGATTTGGCGCCCAAATTTTCCGCTTCTGGGAGCAGTTTTGCTGACACGTTTAAGGATAATTTCACGTCGGTTCCTAAATTCCGTAAGTTTTTAACTTCTTCAATATTTTTTTTAATAATACCATAAATTCACTCCCAAAGCCATTAATCGAGTCAATTTAGATATGAGACTCAATAAAGATTTAACCCTAATTCCCTAAACATGCATAGTTCTATTATTTTATAGATCCAGGGACATGTAAAAAAAAAAAAAAAAG